TATATATATATATATATATATACAATATATATATTTTTAAAGTTAATTTATATATATATATATATATATACTATTCATTTACAGTATTTGATAAATGGATACTTTGTGTTTAGGATGGTCATTTTGAGAACACATACTACAGTGATTTCATTGCAAACCTGGCAAACATCAAGTATGCAGGTAATCCAAAATAGTTTGGATGACCATCGCAAAAATATTTCATTCTATGCAGCCTTTTTTTTCTCTCTTTGCAGGTCAGGCCATGAATATCACTAACTTGAACGTACGCTCCATGCTTCCAGACAACTTGAGTCACTTTTTCAGATATCAGGGCTCTCTCACCACACCGCCGTGCCATGAGAGCATTCTGTGGACTGTATTTGATACGCCCATCACCCTCTCTCACAATCAGGTGCCTCCAAAAGTCCTCGTGAAAAAGTTTTCAATCTTTTTTGCTTTCCTTTAACTTTTAATGTGGTGACCTTCAGATCAGGAAATTGGAGAGCACATTAATGGACCATGAAAATAAGACCCTGTGGAACGACTACCGCATGGCCCAGCCTCTGAATGACAGAGTGGTGGAGTCCTCTTTCCTCCCACGCCTGGGCAAAGGAGGTTAGGGCAGAGCGTCATCCTTTCCAGCAGTTATGAAAAACGCTCTTTGTTAGGCCTGCAGTGCATGAGCATGTTCTCCCTCTCTCCTCTTTGGTTTCTTGCAGGAATTTGCCGTCAGGAGGAGATTGAAGCTAAGCTTAAGAGGATTGAGAGCCTTATTGTGTCACTGGACAAAAAAACGGTTTCAGGTATAACTTTTCATGAGAAATGTCAAGATTACAGGGAAATCTTAAAGGGATAGTCCACCCAAAAATAAAAATTCTTTAAATGTCTAATTCTTTTAAAAATGTCTTTAAGAAACCTGTATGGCTTTCTTCTGTTATTTGTAACAGAACGTAAGCTGCTTTTTCCATACAATGAAAGTGAATGGTGGCCAAAGCTGTCAAGCTAAATGTTTTAGTGGAAAGTGACTTAAATAGTGACTGTTCCTTATACAAACTACCATATGGCTACAGAAACGGATAAAAAAAAAATGTATTTGTAATATTTCTTTTTTTGGTTTTGTTATTTTTATTTTTTTTAGCTTTAGTTTTTTTCTATTTATTTTTTTAGTTTAATTTTTAATTTAATTTTTTTTAAATATCAATAATTTTAGTATTTATTTCAATTAGCTGCAAAAGCAGATTTATTTTGTTTAATTTCAATTAATGGAAATGTTTTTAAATATTTTGATAGTTTAGTTAACAAAAACAACACTGTTCAGAAGTTTGAAATACAGTGGGTTTTGATATTTTTGTTATTTTCATTTTTTTTAGCTTTATAGTTATTTTTTTCAATTTCTTTTTTGGTTTAATTTTTTATAAATTTTTTTTATTTCAGTAATATTAGTATTTATTTCAATTAGTTGCAAAGGCAGATTTATTTTATTTTATTTCAATGAATGGAAATGTTTTTAAATATTTTTGATAGTTTTAGTTTTAGTTAACAAAAACAGTGTTCAGAGGTTTGGAATATAGTGTACGAGTCATGTGGACTACTTTTATAATGTTCGTATGGTATTTCATCCTTTTTGGAGCTGAACATAATCGGTTCACCATGCACATCATTGTATAAAAAAGCAGCTCAGACATTCTGCATTCAACTTGTTTAATGGAAAAAAACGTCATACAGGAGGGTGAGTAAATAACAGAATTGTTATTTTTGAGAGAACTATCCCTTTAAATGTAATGTGTGTCAATCTCAGTATACACTGTTAAACAATCTCTAAATTCAAATTAGCTTTGACTTTGATACGGACTATCATCTACAAGCAGAGGCGGACAAAGTACTCAACTCTATTACTTGAGTGAAAGTACAGATACTGCTGGTCAAATATTACTCCATTACAAGTAAAAGTTGTAAAGACAGATTTTTACTTAAGTAAAAGTACAGAAATACTTGCTTTTAAATGTACTTAAGTACCAAAAGTCAATTTCCTTTTTTATGTCAATGCACACATTTTTTATTGTTGTATGTAATACTTGCAATACTTCTGAAGCAACTTAGAATACATTACACCTACTGAATACACTGACTAGCTTGTAGTATCTTTGGAATAAATACTCAAGTAAATGTACTTAGTTACTGTCCGCCTCTGTCTACAAGTACAGGTGAGTATTTTTTGCAGTGGGTGCAACTGTAGTTTTAGAACTGTAGACATTCAAATATACCATAACAACTAATGTAATCAGTTGAGATTCTATTTATTGACTTACATCACCTTTCCTCCTTAAGGCCTGCAACATATATCGCCACTGGTCCTCTACTTCCCAAAAAAGAATGTGGAGAGTTACGCCATGGTGGTCTTATCCCACCCCATGAACCTCCAATCCTTCACAGCCTGCATGAACGTCCGTATACCGCCCGTACAAGACCTCACCGTGCTTTCTTACTCCACGGCACGTGACAATGAGCTCATGATCACTTTGGGCTCCGAAGTGGGTCTCTGGATCGGAGATGAGTTTGTGAATTTACCATTCGAACATCAATCCAACGATTGGACAAACTACTGCTTTACTTGGTCATCACACACAGGAGGGGTTGAACTGTGGGTGAACGGACTGGTCGGGAAAGAGCGGTACATTCGGGCAGGATACACCATTCCAGCTGGAGGAAACCTCATTTTGGGAAAGGACCAGGATGGCCTTTTAGGGATCTCGGACAGTGATGCTTTTGTAGGGCACATGACCAATGTAAATGTGTGGGATTATGTTCTGACTGCGGCAGAGATTAAGGAGCAAATGTTGTGTGATAGTGGCAAGGTGAAAGGGAATGTCCTGAGCTGGGGAATCACTCCGCTCAGTCTGTATGGAGGAGTTCAGCTGCAGACTGAGCAGGTTTGCCTCTGAGAGAGAAAGAGATTGCCACAGCATAAGAACTTTTTCAAACGAATGTCAATATCAGCAATATTAGCTCTGCTAACTTGAACTGTATACTCTCCCTAGGGACTAACTGCAATTGAGAAAGATATTCTAATCTATCTGTATTTTAAATACAAGCATTTCAATCTATTTTTACCCAGCTGAATAATGTGAATCATATCTGAAGAATTTCAATAAACATTTATATTCTTAACCTTCTTAACATTCCAAATCTATTCATTTATTCCAAATGCACTTTGTGCATACCTTAAATACCTTATACCTTAAATATCTATTAAGAGCATGTTTCTAATTTCTGAAAGAAAGAAATTCTTGATATCACAATCACAAAAACATTTTAGAAATAAAATATTTTATTATTGCTTCTTAGAAAAGAAATTAGGCAGTGAAGCACCTTCATTAAAATACATTTGTCCAAAAAAAAAAAAAAAAAAAAAAAAAAAATCAATTTATTATGATGCAACAAACCCTTAAGGTCATAAAGTCTTTCAAAAGATAGTTTGACCTTTATGGCATGGCAATATTGTAAAATATGCAATGCAAATTATTATAAAGAATTATAAATGCACACAATACTGTACTTCTTACTATAAAAATATTTTCAGTTATAAGGAAAATATGACTTTTTACTGGATTACATCAGTTCTCATTAAATGTAATAATGTTAATGTAATTTTCACCATATGAAAATAATCAATACAAGTTGGCACATGCATTTTAAACCTGATTTTTTAATTTTTAATTTTTTTCATTTCTTGTACATTTCTTGTACACAAGACCCCAAATAAAGATGACAATGAAAAGGCACAATATTTTAATGTTATAATACAGGACCTGTTCTTGGAAGACACTAAAAAAATAAAGTGCATTAAAACAATTCAAAGCATTGCAGACAAACGCAAGAACATGTCCTGTGTAAACAACTCCTTATCCATTCAGAGAAATGTGTTTTTCATTTCCTGTTCGCTGCTTTCCCCTCTAGTCTCTTCGACCTCAGAGTCCCCAGCCTCCACCACAATGTCCACCTTGTTTCTCTGAGCAAAAAGCTTGCTGGTGTCCAGGAAGGTATTGTTTTTGGTCTCTGGGATGATCACCCAGATGTATTTAAGTGTGGCAAGACAGATGCAGGCAAAAATGATGAAGCTGTAAGCGCCCAGGCCTCTCTGTAGATACAAATAAGGACACTTTTTCTGCTTTGATGATTCAGTGAGCTTTGTAACTGTAAAAGGATTTGCACTGAGTCCATGAAAAAAATAACCATCAGTTACTCATCGGAACAGATTTGGAGAACTTTGGCATTACATCACTTGTTTATCAATGGATCCTCTGCAGCGAATAGGTGCCGTCAGAGTGAGAGTTTAAACAGCTGATAAAAATATCACAGTAATCCAAAAGTAACCCACAAATCATGTGGATTACTTTTGGATTATTGTGATGTTTTTATCAGCTGCTTGGGCTCTCATTCTAATAGCATCTATTCACTGCAGAGGATCCATTGATGAGCAAGTGTTGTAATGCTAAAATTATCCAAATCTGTTCGGACGAAGAAAAACTCATCCACAGCTTGGATAACAAATTTTCATTTTTGGGTGAATTATTCCTTTAATAACTTAACAAAAGCATCAACTGGTGCAATACTGTGACTTTGTTAGTGTTGTGTTTGACCTCTGACCTCTAGAAAGGGGAAGACCAGGCCGACTGTGAAGTTTGAGAGCCAGTGAACCGAGCCAGCCACCATGAAGGCTGGTGGTCTAGAAGACTGCCGGAACATCTCTGTAGTGATTACATTAGGAATAGCACCTGCAAAGGGATTCAGAAAAAGCTGTCAAATCTGGATATCATCAGACAGGTCATCTTTTTATAGACAGTAAGAAAAGAGATTGCTTGAAACACTGTGCTGCTTTTACAATCTGTTTTACTGCCACTTTAAAGCACTTCTCCCGCATTCACTCCAGGGTTTTAATGTAAAATCCCAAAAACTGTGGCATAAATCTATTGTCATTCCCCACCAAGGAATACAACAAATGAAAGGGAGGGAGTGAATTCACTGGGTTGCAGCAAACTCCCCTGTGCATCTGCAATATGCCCCTACGGGATTGGTGTGAACTCCAATAGCATGTCCGATGACGTAAACAATGACACAGCTGATACTGACATAGGGCATCCAGTCCAGTGTAGTCTGTGGGTGGAATGTGCAGCAGTTATTCTACCATTTATAGCCTTGCATTTCACACAGACCCAAGAGGCAAATTTGTCAGGCCAGCACATTCACAGCTCTAAAATTAAAATCTCTGCTGGGACTGATATTTTACAATGCCTATAACACCTGTCTGTAAACAAGAATTTACTACAAACATAATGGGCCACATAAGGAAACTCCCTTATTGGGTTAAAGTGAATCTGATTAGTCATTACAACTAGCTCCAATATGAATCCTTATTGCTTGTATTAGGGGTTAAGAAATAAAAAATCTGGTTGATATACATATAAACTTTAAATTATTATGTTATGGTCGATAACCAATAAATAACTTACATTAAAATATTACTCTGACATTAATTAGACAAAAACATTTTAATTTTAACATAATACTTTGTCTAAATATACATTCAGTTTGTTTCAATATATTAAAAATAAAACACAAACATTTGAATTCTTTGTGCTTATGTTAGGAATGAACCGAAATAAAATTCTCGTCAACACAGATAAACCATTTATCATTAATTATTATGTTATGGCCAATAACCAATAAATGACCTATATTAAAATATTACTATGACCTCATTTAAACAATAATATTTTAATTTTAAAATATTCCGTCTAAATAATGTCATAATCATTTTAACATATTACTGACATTATTTACACAATATTTTAGTTTTTTTTTTAACACAAGTGAATTTAGGCATCACGACATATAAATGTACAGTATACAAAATGGAAATTCACTTTGAAATTGGCCAAAGATTACATTTAACTATTATATAATTAATGCTTTCAACGACTGACTTAAAATGACCTTAAGATGTTGGCAAAAATAACCTAATGTAAAATCAGGGCAAATAAGCACACACAATGGAATGTACCATATAAGCCGATATATATATAATTTTAGTTTCTAAACAGTTGTAATATCTCCATATTTTATTTGTCCAAAATTAAGCATCTCTAGTTTGTATTTAAATAAATATAGAGTTGTTATACCTGGAAGTAAAGTGCTACAGTCAGAAGAACAGGCTCCACAGCAGACACCAAAGCCGATCAGTAGCAACAACTTTCTGCCAGATTTCTCCACTATGAACACCTACACAAACAGAAAATCATATTCTTTACACTCATATTTCTTTATGAAGTAAATGAGCTCCTCAAGAGGGACAAAGCTATAAAGAGCATTAATAAGTAAAAAAACAAACAAAATGAGACAATAAGTGGCTTACAGCTGCTATTGTCATGACATTAACTGCTCCTGTTCCAGCCGTCACATACTGAACGTGCTCGTCAGTCACTCCTGCTGAGCTATAGATGCTGTCAGCATAGTAATAAATCTGAAGCGTGGGTTAAAATGAGGATTTAGGTAAGCAAACATTAAAAATATAGAACACCACACTTACGCTTTCAGAACAAAAATGTATTGAAAAGAACCATCTGTGTGATGTTTTAA